AAAAAGCCAAGATCCAAGAGATGGACGCACGCCTGTTCAGGCCAAAGGTCGATCAAAAGATCTGGGGGAATGGACGGATAGCAAACTAGGCTGCGTCCGTCGGCGGAGGCGGCGAGGGAAGGTAAGGTATCCCGTCAACAAGGGGGGGGGGTGTGGTAAAGTGCTAGACTTTTTGTCGATGCTGCTGATAAGGGAAATTTGGCGAGGCGAGGCAAGGACTGCAGGCGAGGAAGATATCTCTAGGATTGTCGTACGCTCTCTCGTATTTACCCCGGGTGTTCCTGAGATAAGTGGCTCGAGGGTTGAGACGTTGGCAGCTGCAGAAGCTGTAAAATGGATGGAGGGGTGTCTAGATGGGATGAGGCAGCTCTCAATGGTGTGCGGATAGATTTGGCCCGCGAAGATTGCAGCAGGCGTGGATGATGAGAATGCGCGTGCGAAAGACAAGAGATAAAGCGTGTGTGAGTGAGTTTGAGTGACAGAGCGAGTGAGTGAGAATGTGGTGTGTGTGCGAGTGTCCCCTGCCGGTCTCAGTCAAGTGAGCAATTGTTCTCAGTCGACTTGCCCACTCAGGAAAGCCCCGGGATGACGGTAGGTGTGCGTGCTTGGTTGCTGTGCTTGTCGTCGTTGTCGTCGGGCTATCCACCGATAATCTGCAACCGAATACTCGCGGTGCAAGGAGGCCGTCCAATCGGGGTATATACTGGCTGACCGTGCCCCAGTATGCGCGTTGGAGCGTCACCGGTTAGATTGCCTCGTGGGCGCTGGGCTGGTCGTCCGCAAAGAGGCCGGGCTAGGTGTGCAGGTTGGCGAGGGAGTTCGGCGTGGAGATCCGATGCGAAGCTGGCTGATTTCGGGGTGTGCCTCACCAGCGGTGAATGGTCTGAGCCTGGGGGTTGGGTGGCAGCCAGGAAAGGAGAAAATAAAAGAGGTCCACGGTGCAGTGGATAACGACTGGATCAGATGATGTTCCTTGGAGTCTTGGATGGTGCCGTTTTTTGTCGCGATGGCCTTCTGCTTGTGTCGTTGGGCGGCTCTTTTGCCTACAGAACGACTAGGGCGATTCTGTAGAGTGGTTCGGGTAGAAAGAGGGAGGGGTTGCCTTATGTGAAGTCGAACCTAAAGATGCTTGAGACGACCGGAGCAGAAATTCCAGGCTGTATCCGTACCTGATGCGAAATAGGTAGGTAAAGTCGGGGCGTTTTGAAATATGAAAGAGAGAGCCAGACCAACGATCCAACGCTTTGAGAATAAAGGTAAGAAAGAGGCAAAGACCAGATGACCTCAGATGAGGAGTCTGCAAGCTTTTGATACCGGTCCTAGTCAGTCCGCGTGGTGATTTGACCAACTGGAAACGGACAAGGTATGCCGCGATGTTTCTGGGCCGTGCTGGCTGGTGGTGCTGCTGCTGGTACTGGGCCCACAGACTGGTGATGTTGATGGGCGAACAGGAAGGCAGGCCGAAGCAGAGTGCATGCAATTCGACCAGAAGAGTGTAGCCAGTGGGATGAGAGGATGTGCGAGGAAAGAGGGTGAAAAAGAGGTGTAATCGTGGATTCGGTAGATTGATAAGTCTGGAAGCGGAGGGGGAGGGGAATAAGTGTAAGGTAAGTATGTATGGATAAGGTACCTAAGGTAAGGTAGGTATGCGGGTGTGGGAGAGAAGGTGTATGACGGGAACAACCTAATGCTGTAAGTGAGGAAAAGTGTTGTGATATCCAATCTTCTTGGGTGATGGAAAGAGCAGCGAGACAAAGTACAGCAACCGCGAGATTCTCAGTGTTTGTAGAGTTAGTCGGCAAATGCAGCAGCAGAGCAAACACAAACGGGACGGTCAGAGTCAAAAAGTAAAATCCAATAACTACGGATAAAAGAATTTGTATTTTTACTGGAGTGAATTCGGTGGCCAGGGCCAGGCGCGGCAGGACCTTGCGGTTGGCCCTTTTCTGTTAATAATTGAATCTTCGCCGGCGGCCACGAGGTTGAGCACGTTGCGTTTTCTCATTCGAACCTTGATGCAAGCGCAAACAACGGGGCCCCATCGAGCGGAAACACCACACCCAGCCATCAAGCCATCATCCATGGGGCCGGAAGCACGCCCGGATCCCAGACGTGCCTGAGAGGAGGGAGGGGGGGCACTCGCGGAACTGTGAGAACGCAAGAACAAGATGGGATGAGATGAGATGGAAACACTGGGAGTGCGCTGGGGGGTTGTGGTTCGAGTAAGTACTAGGTAAGTAATGAGAGAACTCTGCTCTGCACCATTGATGATGAAGAGCCGGGAAAGCATTACCACGGCCATCGAGTAATGAGAGGGTAAGTGTAAAGCGGGAGATGCGAGGTGGGAAGTTAAGTGGGATGGGAAACACACACCTCAGTACTCCGTACCTACCTACTAGGTAAGTTGTATGGATACATGAGAAAAGATACGCGGCTACCTCAGCCGGTACGGTGTCGAGGTGGGAGCACGTGTACCGCATTACCTTCCCATTCCATCTAGCACCACCTACCAAAACTCGTGTCTCTTCTTTCTTTCCACTACTGTGTAGATTAGCCGACTCCAGTCCCTCACCAAACATCTTCCAGAAGCTACGCCGTTGCCTGTACTTTCCAGGGTGTACCGGAACCACGTCTGCTGCAGCGCAACCAGTAGCAGGCCGGGATCGATGACTTGGTCACTGAATCGGGCGATGCATCAACGAGACGGGGACTTCTGGAGCCGTATTGGAGCCATTCTCCAAAAGAGGGGCCGCTCTGGACGGGTCCTGGAACGGGACTACGGCGGGCAGCCCTCAGTTCCATTCCGTCTCAACTCTCAGGGCAAGTCTTTGTGTCCATGTCTCATGAGCGGGAAAGAAACTTGGAAGGCGCAGATGTATCCGTAGTGGACCTGACCAAAATCTGAGAATGTGAGAGAGAGAACGACCTGGAAGGCTGGGAGAAGATTACTAGGGCCTTCCCAGTGCCCTATTTGCAGCAATTTTTCGCTTCCCGTGAAGCCTAGCACAGTAGGTTGGCTTTATTATGTAAGAGCATGGCCGCGGTTGGCTCGGGGTTTCGCTTACACAGTTGCTCTTACCTACTGGGAAACACCTCCAACTTTTTTTCCTCCTCAGACAGTCAGACCTCTCACCATCTGTCCCCAGTCTTTTTTTCCTCTTGCGCAATGCTGCGGCTTCAGAAAATTTTTCCTTATCTTTGGCAACTTTATTACCCTTCTCAGTCTAACCTGGAAAGCACCCGCGCCGCAGTCCCTCATGGCGGAAACCTATGCAACCATGCCCTGCAATGCCGCCATTGTCTCCCAAGCTGTCAAGGACATCGAGGGCGGTCACGATGGAGAGTACATGGGTACAATACCTTACTTGCAACTTTGGGGCATCTTATCGTCTCTCCATGCTACCTAAGGCATATGTAGGTAGGTAGTCGCACATCGTACGTCGTACGTACGTTTTACATCAATGCCATATTGAAGTATCAATGTGGCCCTCCGATATGCTCACCGACTACAGTCCACTCTGTACAGCCACTGCCTGTCAAACACGAACCTACCTAGGTACCCTGACGAGCTTGACCTGCCATCACATCATCACATCAGACCGAGACATCCGCCCATGGATATCGGGTGTCTGCGCCTCCCTCCATACCTTACCGGTCCCTCATGCCTATCTGGACGGACACAGATGCTTGCCCGGCTCGGACCATGGCATCAGATAAGGGCACCTTGATGAGTCCGACTTTGTCGGTTCACGGGCCCTATTACGAGCACGGTCGTCCATCACGGGGTCCTTGATTTTAAGCACTACTGCGCCGGTCAGCCCCCGGCGCAAATCAACGTCTCCACATACTGTCAACTGGCGCGTCGTCAGGTCGGTGATCGGAGTCAATCCCGATGCCACAATACTCTCCGAACCCTGTGCAAACTTTTTCTGGCCCAGAGCTCCACACGACTCGCAAACGTGATCCAAAGAAATCTGCATCGTCCATCATCACAGAGCCCACCGCTTCGTTATTACATGTGTACGTCCGAAGCTCGAGCCTTCGGACCATGCCACTACGGATACCAAATGGGCATAACCCTACCTCCTCTGTACACATACCTCTGTTCCCGATGCTCGACCAGGTTTGCGCGGTATCTCCCAGAGCCCCCTCCTACGTACGGAGTACAGCATGGCCCCCCTGGCCCGGATGGCTGGGTCCCACTGCTAGCTCCCAGGCAGAAGAATCATCGAATATCGCAATTCTACGCCATGATGGGCAAATTGTACTGCACAACCAGACACCATCCAAAATCTCCCACCCACAGCACATGCAGACACTAGCATCTGGGCTCTAGCCTCTAGCCTCGCTCTCTGCAGGTCTGAGATTAGTCTCTTTGCTGAGCTACCCGTGCCACGCTCCCACCGGTTACAGCGCTTGCTGCATCACCCGGGTTCGACCTAGCACCGCACCCAACGCCGCCTATTTTGTCTTTGAGAGCCCTTCATGCACGTCGGCTGCAGAAGCGTCGAGTAACCGCCTTCACGGAGGCGCACCCAACGTCTACTTGATCTTTGTTCGAGCCTGGCGCGGGTGATGCCATTGGCCATGGGAGCGTCGTTGTTATCAGCCAATTATGCTGTTGTATGGTGCGACATGTACTATGACGGGCGTGGAGGGAAAGGATCAAGGTAAAGCCGCTGTCGCCCGTGTGCTCACATTCAAGTCCACAGAATTCCGGTTCCGATGACCTTCCGACTGACAACATTGGATGTGAGTAGACACCCTCAAAAACCGAAGAGTGGCCTAGGCCAAGCCGCAGGATTCAAACGCAACCCAGCGGGGTATCCCTGAAGGCTAACGCGGACTTTGAGGCGGAACCTGCTTCTGCTGAAAGTCTAGACGTGCAGCAGCATTTGTGACCGTTGTCTACTAAGACCTCCGTCATCAACGATCGGATCCAGTGCCTTGGGACGAAGCTCAACTTCCCTTCTGAATGCGGTCCGGCAACGAGCCACCGGACATGGCGAGACAATAGGCTGGCGGACAACAAACAAAAGAGCAGTCAACCTCATCTGAGCAGTCGGAACTCGGGAGGCGCCAGTATCCGTAATCTGATTGACAAAGAGCTGAGACGACAGGTCAAGCACAAGTAGGAATGCGCCAATGACGGCCTAGGAATCGCGCAATGCCGACCTTGCTAGCACCGCATTTTCCTCATTACGTACAAATGGAGCCAAGCAAACGTCCCAGACGACCGCCATGCCGTCATCAAGCGAACCAACTGGCGTTCCGTACTGCTCATAAGCCAACGTTTCCCCTCCCTCTCCGAAGTGGGCATCTCCGCGGAGGAGCCTGCAAATCCCCAAATTTGCGCCCAAGAAGCTTGTTATTGCGTTTGCGGTCTGGCCGTCTCCAAAGGAACTCGGGTTTCTGCGTAACACACCACAAAGAGCCAAGAGAAAGAAGCAGCCAGCTTGAGAGCGAGCTCAGCTCAAGGGACAAGCGCCACTGGCCCCCCAGCTGCTCCAGCCTACAGATGCTGCTGCTGCTAATGCAAACAGCCCCCGCTTCGTTGCCGTCAAATCTGCGGGTTTTGCGGGGAAGTTGGCCCATGCCTCGTAGGGCACCGTTGTGCGCCAGCTCCCTCGTCGGCAACGTCACGCCCTTGACCGAAGAGTGTATGGAGACGAAGCCGACGAGACGTACACATGTAGGACCCAAACACGCCCTAGATGGCTCTCGCCGTCGTCGAAGACGACATTGTTGGGATTGCAAACGCACGTCGCCGCCGGCCACTTCCACCGGCCCACCAAATTTACGTTATAGTATTTACCAGTGTGTCGACCGCCTAGAGAACCCCTCATCGAGTTTGCAGGGTCCAATTCCCCGGAGGACGGCCGCTCATCGCACACCATCGGTCCAGCCAGGTGTTTAGATATTGGCGCGGGCCTGAAGGAGAAGGAAAATCCGGGGTCTATTGTGAATTGCTGTTCAACGCCGACCTCGCGTCTATTTTCAAGTCACCTGAGCCGACCTTTTTTTGACATCCCTGCCAGCTAGCCAGATCCATCCGGGCAATGGACTGCTATCCCCCACGGGCCCATCTTAGTTGTGGGCACCGATATCGCGTGTTGAGGAGAGAAAACTTCACGAGGTCCAGTTGACACCTAAGCGAGCCAGTTACTGCACTGGGGCCGGAGGTACTAGAGGGGCTTTGTACCCAAGAGGAGGAGCTTCTTTTGGGGGAGCTCGCGGAGCCGCAGCCCCATGTACCCCTTCTGGGCCGGCCAAGCTCGAGGACGATACTTGTGTGCCCCAGATCAGCTCCATTCAGCTGCCAAGTCTTTTGATATGTAGGCCTGGGAGCTCGCTGTGTTGGTTAACCTGAACACGGTAGGCCGTGACCTCGACGTGACTATCCCAAGCTTGGGTCCCATGCACCAGACGTAGAGAAATCAAAATCGTCCGGTCCCAGTGACCGTTCGAACCACGGCTGGGACGCGTCGAGTGACTCGAGACCGACTGGGTCATTATGAGGCTGAGCCATAATGTTGTCAAAGTATCGCTGCAGATGTCAGTCAGACGTAGGGCATTGATTGCTTGGTGAGTGCGTGAACATACCCAGTCCATTTCTTCATTGCCAACGGCCGCCCATCCACGATCGAGCCCAGGTTCACTTGGCCCGAGGCCTGATGTGACAAACTCGAAAGGCTGGAAGCGATTCGTCGTAGTCGTAGGGAACGATGGTGAGTCTGTGAGATAGTCAGCAGGTATATCACCTCAAGGGGTATCTTCACAGCCACACCTTTGATTGAAAGACTGTCGAGAAGCTGTTGGTCGTCTTGGGCGGAGCGAGCAGCTGATTCCGACCCGTCACTCTGACGAAGTCCCGACGCCGACGATACCTTTGCGCCGCCATTCTCTGGCGGAGAATTCGGCGGCGACCCCAGCTTGTTCAGCATCGTTTCCAGGATACCCGCCGTCTTCCTCACCTCGGGCACGCCGCCGGCGATGGCGATCCAGACGGAATACGACCTCTGCAGGAGGTGCAGGAGGTACGCCCTCGTCGGCGGGGGATTCATCTCCGCCATCCACACGGGCGAAGACGTCGTTGCGCCGGTCTTGCCGTCCACGCCACCCCAAAACGGTTCGTGTCCGATGGCGAGGTATATGATGGTGGCGGCTAGCAGGAAGTCGTGCACGGCGAGCGAGGAGACGAACCAGCCGTTCTGGCTGAGCATGTTGCCGGGCTGACACGCGTGCCATATCGTGTTTTGGAAGTCGAGGAGGACGACGGCGCCCTCGAGGCACTGGCGGCGGGAGTAGTCGTGCTCGCGGCGCGGCGCAGGGTCGAGGAGGAACCGGCGGTGGAGGACGCAGCGGCTCTTATTGTAGAGCGAGGCGAGGCCGAAGCGCTGGATGATTTGCATGGGCGGCGTGGTGACGCACTCCTGTAGGGGTTTGACCATCATGAACTGCGGCACGGCGCGCCACGAGGTGTTGAGGAGGTCGTCGAGGCGCATTACCTCGGCGTAGGGCGGCGGGGTGAGCAGGTGGGACTGCCGCGCGACTTGGCCGAAGACGAGCATCATGGCGGACTTGTTGATGGGGTACGTCATCTCGGTGTAGTCTGTCGCGGGTCGGGCCGGCGGGAGCACGAGGGTGTCCTCGTCGAAGTCCTCGTCGACGAGGTTGCGCGGGAGGCTGCAGTCGGCGTCGATGCCGTTGAGCATGCTGGGGAGGCCCATGTGGAAGGAGACGAGGAGGTCGAGCTGGACGGCCATGTTCCACATGCGGCGGCGCATCTCGCCCTCGTAGGGGGAGATGACGGTGCCGGCGGCGAGGAGGCGGTCCGGGTCGCGGTGGAGGCCCATTTTGAGGAGGAGGCGGAGGCAGACGGAGGAGAGGACGTAGCAGTTCATCTGGGCGGCGCGGGAGATGATGAATTCGGCCTCGACGTAGAGGATGAAGGGCGGGATGGTGGTGATGGTCGGATGGGTGTACCTGCCCCAGACGAGGCAGTAGGCGGCGGCGGCGCGGAAGAGCTTGAAGCGGTCCATGGGCGGCTGCGGGGAGTCGACCGAGAGCTCGTGGGGCGCCATGAAGGTCGAGTAGAAGACGCCGAGGGACATGACCATGAAGAGGAGGGCTAGCCAGTGGAGGTCGGTGCCGGACTGGTCGGTCCAGAAGCGGGCGTACTAATTAACATGTTGGCACGAGTGCTGTTGAAGGGAGGAGGGCGGAAAGGAGTTTAGAGACTTACCTGTTTTTCAAAAGTTGGTCTATGGACAATATCTGCCGCCTTGTCAATACACACAAAGCCATGGGGGTGAGAACCGCAAGAGGCGAGCCGTGGTGTCTTACGCTGTGATGGACTGCGGGAGGAAAAGTACCTCATGATGAGCCTGTCGACAATCTTCTGCTCAGGGAGCAGCTTCAGCAAGTCTTCTCTGCTGCGAGGCATGTTCCTCGAAAAGAGCATGAGATCCGGGGCCTCGATCTCGTCTGACGGTTCAGGACTCTCGTCGTAGTCGGCCTCCGGCTCCTCAAAGTAGCTCTTCATATCCTCAATCTGTTAAATCCACTCCGTCAATATCTCACCCAGTTCGGATTTCCTTCAAATCTTGGATCCGGCATTACAGCGGGAGAAGCGAACAACTTACATCCTCAAGAATAGCCATGAAGTGCGTAGCCCCAACATACGTACTCGCCTTGCCCCCCTGAACAAGCTGGCCCCCGGGCTGCGCGACGCCCTTCTCTTCCACGACGGCGTCTGCGGCAGCAATCTGCGGTCCTACTCCCGCCACGCCACCTCCTCCCTCATCCATCATCGTCCTCACCATGCCCTCGAGCCTCTTGAGTCGCGCCGCCATGCCCTTGGCGGGCTTCTGCTTCTCGGGTTTCGGCGCGTAGACGCAGCCGTTCGGGCGGGATTTCTTCAGGCACTGGCCGCACGGCTCGGAGCGGTCGCATTTCAGCTTGGAGGCGCGGCAGGGACCGCAGGAGAGGAGGACGCGGGAGCGTTTTGCGGCGGCGGCTGCTGATGCTGATGCCGAATGGTGGGCGGATGAAGGTCCGGGGCCGGGGCCGGAAGAGTTGGAGGTGGAAGAGGGGTTGCTGCTGCCGCCGGTGCTTGGACCGGCGGGCGGGGTTACGTGGTCCGGATTCATTGGAGCTTACGGATCCCCTTGGACGATGCGCGGAGAGCGGATGACTGGAGGCGACAAGCGGTGTCCGATGCCGTGCCCGGTGCCGTGTGTGAGTGGGTGTGACGGGAACGACGGGGGTGGGGCTTTGGAAAGGGGGTGATGTCGTCCGTATTCAGATCCGGAAATCTAAACTTTATTTGACGTCAATCCCGGAGCCGAGCTTCGTGCCTTGCTTTAATTACGGCTGACGGCGTGTGTCGTCTTGCGTCAGCGTGTGCTTGCGTGTGCGTCTATGAAGAGCCCCGTTTTGGAATGCAGCAAGATGCAAGTCATGTTTGGGTCATTCTTCTGATTCAAAAAGCGGCCGAAAACCACCTACTAGGCAACTATAAGCTGACGGCTCCATCCGTCGGCCAGTCTCGGGGATACGGCTTGGTTAACCCCGACTATTCTGACGACCACCAAGGTTCCATACCAGTAATTACAAAGTGCCAATCCACGATACACAATGGCTGGGTCGAATTGCATCACGACCCGACCTTTTAGAGAAAAAATGCCAACAAACCAGAACCCAGATATGCTTTTGCTTCTCCCTCGCCGTGCTCCATTTCCAGGGCTCAGCGCGCCGGGGCTCGATGTGGCGGCCTTCTCGATTTCCGCGACTTTTATATCGCCTTTCCGTGCCGAGTGATTGGGCTGCGGCGACATTCAAGCCCTTCTTCCAACTTGACAGTCGAATTATTGTACTGTTCAAGTGACTCGATGTTCTCCCCCGTCCTATTGGAGTAACCGTGGATTCCCTCTTACATCGTTGATCCAAGCTTAAATCGGGGCATCGGGCAATCTCTCGATGGTGTACTTTCCGCGTCCACACTTCATGATGGGAACACCGGGTATGCGACGGAGCTAGAGAGATTGATGTTAGAATCGTCGTTGACTTGCGGGCAAGGCTGAACATACTCGCGATACAAGACCCTTATCGTTGGTTGCGACCAGGTACACTCTGTCTTTAGACACCTTGGACACCTATGAAGTGTTGATCAGTATTTTGACTCAATCATCTGATGATATAAAGTATGGAGCCTTACAAGGCAGTCATCGGCATACACCTGAGGAGAATCGAAGTTAGCAAAGGAGAATCACGATAGTGCTCATAGTGGACCTTACTCCTTTGTGTGTGCACTTGTGACGTTCAAAACGGGGGTCGCGTGCTACTCTGAGAGCAAGACGGAACTTGGGACCAAGCTTTTCCAACTCGGCCATGACACAGTCGGTCACGATGGGGTGACAGGTAGCTAGGGTTGGACGTCAGTTGGTGCCAAAAGACTTTGTGCAGTGCCATATCCTACCGTAGAGACAGTCCATCATAGTTTCTATCACTGGCAACTTCATCTGAACGGTACTAGGAGCAGGTTAGTCGTCGAGAGCGAAGAGGTGTACGTTCGGGCAGGCTTATTATACCGGGAGAAGACTGGCGTACGGTTAGCAACTGGGATTTAGAGGTAGGTAGGGGCGACGGGGCCTTACATGAGGTATCGACAAGGACGCCATAGGGAGGCACGAGGCTTGAGTTGCTCTCGAAGAACATCTGGGAGGGGACCTGGGGAATCTCCCTGACAATGGTCTCGCCATCTGGACCGCCTCTTTCACGCTTGGCCTTCTGCTCGGCCTCTTCCGCCTTCTTCAGGTTCTCCTTGCGCCGGGCGTCGTTCTTGCCGATGACTCGCTTGACCTGACAGGAACGTACATAGTCAGCAAATTTGATCGCAAGTATCAATATCTGAGAGGCGTCGAGCTTTCAACGCCCGGTTGTAGGTATCGCGATCATCGTGAGCTTTCGTCCAGGGAACCAAAAAAAAGTTCTTATCGATAAGGATTCCGATATTTTCTTTGCGATGCGCGGGAGGTTTGGCGCAATGTAGGGACGGGCGAACGTACTTCACCAAACTTTCTGGTCTTCTTTTGAACACCCATGATGTCGGTATCCGTATGGGCAATCGAGTACAGGTCGTCGTCGTGGTCGTCGAGTGAAGGAATACTGGCGTCGGCAAGGCTGGACAAGGCTGTTGCGTTGACGTTTTCCTGAGTTTGGTTACCCAGCGCAGGTGGCGGGGCCGAGAGCTGGGAAAAAAGTTTTCGGTGTAAGGTGGAAGGTGCTCTCGGTGTGTGGCAACCGGGTTCAGGTGAAGATACTTCCGGTCTGTGCGCTCGGTGAAGACTTGGGGCGAGGCCGCGCAGCGTTTGTGAGCAAGGTGGGTCCTGGGGAGGTGACCCAGAGCAACCGGAATGAGGGGACAATGAGACTCTCAGGGACGAATGACAGGGGGTCTCGTCCTCCACAGTTTTCTTCTCTGTCTTTACCCGCAGTCGGGCGTTGCTCTTCTAGCGTTGTAATTTCCTCTCCCACATTCAGGAAAAGCAAACGATCGATCAACGGCGCCCAAACGCCGGAGACAAGGTGGGCGTTGCGCTGGAGTCTGGAGTCTGGACTGGTACATAGTCTGGTGCCTTGCATCAGCACTTCTGTGCACTGCCCTGCGCATGCATAATAGCAGCCCATTATGATCAGAGACGGGTCTGATACCCGCCGCGCCCATTCATGAGCTTGCCTTAGTCTGAAGCATCCGGCATGAATTGTAAACTGCTGGAGCACTGGAGGTCTGACGAACGCGAAGACGAAGCGAAGCAGCAAAGATAGGGGAGCGCCGGGACTCTGGTGGAGAGGAATGGGGCATCATTCGCATTCCACAGCGAGGCTCACCATCGTCCATGGCCCATATTTTTTTCCAATGAGTTTCGAAGATCTTTGGCCATTGGGTAAATGGGTGGGCATCTGCCAGGTACGCTTACACGCTTACCCCGGATGGATGGCTCGTGTTGATGATGGTTGCGACCTGCAGCCACTGTAGCGCATGCTGGGAGTTGATGATTAGTGGGATCAACGCTCTCGCCTGTTGGACACCTCAGTTCTCAATACGAGAGTGTGTGGGCATACGAAAGAAGTCGGAAGCACATCTTCATAGAGGGCGACTTGTGTACAGTCTCACAGCATAGTGTATATTCGACAAACACCGTGTCGATTTCCCCAGACTTGCGCGTCTCCTGCGGATCAAAAACCTGGCTTGCATAAGCTGCCAGCACTGTGTCTGCATGTCTCTCTCCCTCTCACATTCCCAGGAAATGCGGCCCAAATGCACAAAAATAAACAGACCCCGGCACAGCAGCACGTCAGAACTTTCAGGTGCAGCCATGGGAATGCGCCGCGCCACAGCCCAGGCCCCAGGCCCCAGGGCAGGGACGAAAACCGCCCAGTCCGCTAACACGAAATGGATGCTGTAGACTATCGCCTGTGTGCTGTGTGTAGCTACTAACAAGCAAGTTCCTCCAGAGCAGGCAAGGACCCTTCCTCCTTTTTTCCCCAGGCCCGTTCCCTGCTGACCAGGGGCCCGCCTTCGCCATCCATTCCCTTTCTCTTCCCCATCACGCACTCTCATCCCTCCCATCCCTCTCCTGCTCCCTCCAACCCTTCCTCCCTGACTGACTCCCTCACGACAAACCTCGGAAGCCGCCCACCCAGCAAACGATCAGCCGGCACCAGCAATGTTCTAGCCAGCGGGACCTTTTCTTCTTTCATATTGCTTTGCTTGTCCGGTTTGCATCCGCAACCACCCCGATACCTTCGTTCGATTCTCCCGAGCTCATCGCATCCAGCCTGAGCCAACTGAACGAACCGAACCGCCCCATCCGGAAGGACATCACAACGACGACGACCCCCGTTTTCTGCCCACGGGCACCGACACAACCGCCGTCATCGACCGTTTTTCATCGATTCGACAACCGAACAGCACATAGGTCTAGAAAAGAAGTGACCGACACCTACATCATTTTGATTTCGGACCATCGCATCCCACCGTAAACACCGGACACCCCTCGGAGGTAATTGAACTTCATAGTCGACCGACCATGGTTTCGTCACGCCATTCGCTGAAGCGCTCGCTTCTCCTGTCCACCTTTGCCGCCTTGTCTCTCTTCTCTGCCACGGGTCTTGCGCAAGATAGTAGCAGTGGAGGAAATGCCCAGACCAGTGCTTCGCAGGCAGCTTCTACAGACGATGCCACTACCTCGGCTGCGCAGCCTTCGCGCACCAACGCGGCAACTGCCGTCATCACCAACACCGGCGCCGTTGCCACAACGGAAGCGAGCATCAGTGCCCCTAGGATCACTGGCACCTCCGATTCCACTGGCGATGTCCTCACGGGTCTGCCGTCCCTTACAAACCAGCCTATTGTGACGACGTACCCGCCGGCCAGTGTACCTCCCACCAACAACGCTCCTTATATGCACCGCTCGAGTGCTCCTCAAGGAACCGTCTTCATTGCCGTGGGCTCCATCCTCGGTGCCTTTGGTCTCGGCATTCTGATTTGGCGCGGCATCATCGCTTGTCTGCTGCACCGCTCCGTCGCCCGCGCCGCCAATGCTCAGTATGTCGCCAACGACAAGCAGAGCTTTCCTGCCCCTCCAGCGCAATTCTACAAGTATACTGATCGCGAATCCACTCCTTCTCTTGTTCCCAATGGTGGACGTGGTGTGCGTAGAACGCAGCGCGGCCCCATCCCCTCTGCGACGCCGAGCCAGTCGAACCTCTTCTTCTCGCCTACCGCAGCTGGCGGCGGCAACAGCAACAACAATAACAACAACTCCGCTACCAACCGCGACTCTCGATTCCTTCCTTCTGGATTCTATGCCGCTGCCACCTCGTCTCCCAGTCCTGCTCACGGTCACTCAATAAGTTTGACGAACCTCCGCCCCGAATCGCGAGGCCAGTATGGAAGCCGCAACAACCTGAGGGAATCTACGCCTCCGGAATCCCCTTCGTACGGCGCAAGGCGTGACTTTAGCACCAGCTCGGTTAACTTGTCTGCGGCGCCTGGAAACGGACAAAGGGCTCCCAGTGCTTACCTCGAGGATCTGTTGGACGAGAACCCCAATGCCTTCCCGCCAAGCCAGATGCGCCCCGGATC